AGACAGACAGACAGACAGACAGACAGACAGACAGACAGATAGACAGACAAACAGGCATACAGACAGACAGATAGACAGACAGACAGACAGACAGACAGACAGACAGACAGACAGACAGACAGACAGACAGACAGACAGACAGACAGACAGACAAACAGACATGACAGACAGACAGATAGACAGACAGACAGACAGACAGACAGACAGACAGACAGACAGACATACAGACAGAGAGAGTGAGAGTGATAAGAAGAGTGAGGGTGAAACCGTGAAAGGGAGAGGAGAGGTAGAGGTAGGGAGAATGCGTTAGCTTGAGTATGCGGCATGGGTAAGAGTTTCCTATAGAGAGTAGGCCTATAGATGAGTGTGCCTGGCAATAGTGCATGTTCTCCGCGTGTGTCAGGTGACGGTGGTTACAGGTGCATCCAACGAAATTTTTAATTACGTTCGAGCAATGAACACGAAATAACATAATGATACAGGTATGTCGTATGTGGATACAATAGTGCAGGTGTACGACAGTTACCTGTCGCTACGTGTCCGGAATTAGTGCGCAAGTGTATAAGTATAGAATTCAGCCCGGTCTACAGGATCATGGTATGTGTGGTTCCATACCCCTGTTATGTGTGGTGCTGGTGTGTATGGGTTCGCTTGCTAAGGGGCTAATTATTTAAATGCACCGGAACTGGAACGAATTCTTTGGCTGTTATCGGCGTGAGCAGCAACAATGGGAAACTAGACGTTCTAATAGCTGACATTTTTCTTCAGCTATTCAGACTCGAAACGAATTCCACGAAAGCAAATAAATTCTGCTTGCTTCCACTGTGCGCTAATAACCGCGCGAGACAGCGTGTGGCTGCGGAGATAAAATCAAGAGATGATAAAATCTTACATGAGGTCAGAGTAATCATCATTTACAATGTTAGTGGAGCGCGAAAGTTGACGAAAAATATTCCTACATTTAGCTAATTTTCCTAATTTTCGCTTCGTCACCGACTTCGCTACTCAATTCGTTTCCGTGCCGTAATTTCGTAAGCGCGCTCCCCATCAAACAATTTTGCAGTCCACGCACCGAAGCGTTATTATACGACAAAGTTACAAGGAGTGCCGCGCACTTATTTATATTCATCCACTGAGCGGTGCTAAGGAGCGAGGAGTCTTTGATAAGCTCGGCTCGCCATAACACCGTGGTTTAATGTTACGGTAATTACTGGGTGGTTGGGAACGTTATAGCTGTGTGAACTGGTTCTGTTCGGCTGCGGGGGCTTTTGGGCTTTTGTCACCAGACAGTTGTCGCGTTGTCGGAGCCTGTCAGCGAGCGAGTACAATAACCTCGTGTAATGCCACGCGATTACCACCTGATCGATCCAAATACAGCTTCTCCCTATCTCCCTGTCTGTTCGTCTCCCCATCCCACTCTCTGTCTGTCTGCCTGTAAAGTGTGTCCGTCTATCTGCCTGCATCTCGGACGCGCGTCTCTCTCTCTCTCTCTCTCTCTCTCTCTCTCTCTCTCTCTCTCTCTCTCCTCTTCTCTGCTCATTCTCTTCATCTCGTTCCTAATTCATTTCCTCTCCCGCTCGGCCATCGCTCTTTCCTCATTTGAGCGGCCGCGGCCGCTTTCTCCTCTCTCTCTCATGTTTTCCCACTCCCACCTCTCTGCTACTTCCCGCCCCTTTACTTCTCCTCCAGTCTCTCTTACTCCTATCTCTTCTTCTCTTCTTTACCATCTCCCATGTCACGACGCCAGATTTTACCTGAATATATATATATCGCACTTATATAGGACAATGGAAGAAGCACGGTGGGGATATCTATCGCTGCCGCAGAGAGAAACAGGTTTCGGTATCACCACCAATGTACCAGCTATTAGCATCCTTGACGCCGTATAAGCACCCACTTCAACACACCTGTGTGCAGAATTATGCGATTATTAAGTAAGCAGAGGGCAGAAATTAAACAAGGCTGGGGATGATAATAACCGGGGCGGGCACCCAGCATACTAACCTCCAGCCCGGCCTGTACCTCTCGGGGCACACAGACCACTCCGCAGGCGGGTTTGAAGCGGGATGGGGGGGAGGCGTACAAGCTCGCAGGCGCTCGTGGGGAGCTCAATTGCCCAGGTACATTACGACACCGCACAGCGCACTATCCTATCGAGATACGTCACGTCTTGCCGCGGTTTTAGCGGGCGCACGGCGGGCGGGCGCGTGCTGCCTTAGCAAGAGACGAGGTGGTGGACGGTGGCTGATACGGTTCCTACTTGACCGTGGACTGCGAACCGAGGCGCACAATTACGATCGTCGTCGGTCTGCGAGTTGCCTGTCACGTGACCCTGCCAATCATGTGCCATTTTCTAGCTATTTTGTCTGCGCGCGGAGCTGAGAGGGAGGCAGCATGAGACAATGAAGTAAAGAAGGGCATATCGATGTGAAGGGCTATGATAAAAAACATAGGGCAAGTCACAAATACACACCGCGACCTGGACAATAGGCAGCAACGCGTCAGTGCATTAACCATCAGTTCCCACAAACGAGTGGGGCGAGAGACCCCGCCTGTATTATATATAGCATGTGGTATTAGTCTAGAAGTGGTTATGACTGTGGCAGGTGACTGTATATACTCAAATATGCTATCAAACCTACCTAAACCTCGTTTCTCACTCTATCCCCCCTCTCTCTCGCTTCTCTCCTCTCTCTTCTCTCCCTCTCTCTCCTCTCTCTCTCTACTTCTCTCTCTCTCTCGTCTTATCGCGCGCGCTCTCTCTCTCTCTCTCGCTTTTCGCGCTCTCTCTCTCTCTCTCTCCTCTCTCTCTCTCTCTCTCTTTTCTCTCCTCTCTCTTTCTCTCACCCCTCTCTCTCTCTCCTCTATCCGCCCGTCTGTCCGTCATTCCGCCCTCCTGTCCGTCCGTCTATCCATCTACTTATCCCACCCACCCATCATCCCAATTTTACCCCCCCCCCCGTCTCTCTCTCCTCTCTCATCTCTCTCTTCTCTCTCTCTCTCTCTCTCTCTTCCGTTTCCGCCCCGTTATTCTGCGACCCTATCCCTATATATAAAGGGAATCTAGGATGATGTAGTTTTGCGTGCGTACACTAGCAGGCCTGTTATCCGCTGATGTAGCTTGCGCTGTGTCGCGTCTTTCAGGAGCCGTTCGCGGCGTTATCGGACCGCCATGAAGCTATAGCACGCGTCGGCAGTCAATACATGCAACCACACGAGTAGCGACATGACGAGAAGGGAGAGAGAATGGACAAGAGAGAAGGGACGTACGAAGAGAGAGGAGAGGGGGGACGGGGAATGGCAAGAGGGAGAACCGGGGAAGCTTAGAGAGAGAAGAGAAGACGAGAGTGAGCAGAGGAGAGAGAGAGGGGCGGGGAGGCGGAACGGAGAGAGAGAGAGTAATGTACGGAGAGAGCTTGATGAATGAGGAGAATGGAACGAATAGCGACAGGGAAGAGTAGCGGCGCCGTACCGGGTCTCGCGGTAAGCTGACGCGAGAGAGAGAGAGGGTGAGACGAAGGGAGAGCAGAGAGAGCGAGAGAGAGGAGGAGAAAGAGAGAGAAAGAGAGAGAAAGAGACGAGAGAGAGAGAGAGAGAGAGAGAGAGAGAGAGAGAGAGCGAGAGCGCGAACGAGCTAGCGAGAGGGGGAGAGGGAGAGTCAGACAGAGATGATAATCTGCTTAACCACAGAGAGCGTCTGTTAGCATCACAAAGTCAGTCTCACAGATTCCCCACAACCGTCACACGCAGCTCATTATGCCGCGGAAGTCCACCAGACGCGTACAGAGCCCATAAATGGAATTCACGGAAAAGATGCGCATCTTGGAATTCTGAGCAAGCATGACATAACGCCAGTCTCACCTCGACATCGACTTCGCTGTCTGTTTCTCTCAAGCTGATTCATGATAATTTGGTTACCGACAGAGACAGGGAAAGATGCCGCGATAAATACATTACCTCGTGCCAATACGTGCTAAATACATCTCCAACGAGAGAGTGTCTCATGTTTATTAGATTACTGGATCCCGTGATTACTGGATATTCAAACCCGTCGTTCGGCGAAAACCAGTTACCGAATACCTCTAAACGCGCGTTCAAAACAACGTCGTGTTTCCCTCATGATTATATAGTGACAGGGGCATTCCACGTGCGTCTGTCCCGGTCACGCAGTTGTTATAAGTTCTGAAGACGCCTCCGGGACGCGGACGAAGAAGAGTTATACTGGTTGTACTACCTTATCGATTAGTCGAGACTGCAGTGGTTTAAGATGGACCGCAGATGCACTACACAATATATCGAAACATCTAGTCAGATTGGTAAAAAACTTATTCTTGGAAAGAACATATGGGTATAGAAGTGAACAGGTGATTTTGTGTGGGGACCACGTATGTATATATATCCTCTGTTGGCTCCATTTCTGCATGTACCAGCAAGAGGCTGTACGGCAGCCGTATAGACGCAGATACGGGATGAAAGATTTTGTGTGGAGTAGAGACGGGTCGGTTTGTGACAGATTAAAGATGTCAAATGTATGTGACAGCCCCATAACGTCAAAGGTTTGTCAAGCGCCAATGATGTCAAGGGTTTGGAATGAATTAGGATGTCTAATGTTTGTGACAATCCGATAATGTCAAGGGTTTGTGAAGGGCCAGCGACTATGAAGGGACTGTGCGTGGGTGACGGAGACCTACCTTGTTTGGTGGACACCCTCCTGCCGTTGTGAGCGACGAAGCTGGCTTGAGGGTGCGACTCCTCCACAGAGAACAGCTCGTCCTTGGTGACGGTAGAATTGCGCGACTTCATGTGCCCGTCTGCGCCCACCGCCGTCAGGTAGCGTCCCGCGCAGTCCTTCAGCGCCATGTAACCGCCGTGGAACTCCAGCCGGTAGAGGGTGTTGGCGTCGGCTTCGTCGACGAGGCGGCCGTCGCGGTGCAGGTAGCGGTCGTCGCACGTCTTCACGGCGTACTTTCCCTCTCTCAGCTCGAGCGTGACGAGCGCGTCGCGGCCCCAGGGAATGTTCTCATCGACGTGCATCTCCTCTTCGCGCAGGTGCGCGTACCGCTTCCGGTTAACGTTGCGCAGGTTCACCTGCGGATGCACGGCCAGGTGCACGGACCACAGCACGTCGTCGGTGAGCGACGCCTTGCTCGTGCAGCGCAGGTTGTCGCCGACGCCGCCGAAGTAGTACCCGAACTCGACCGACTTGAACGCCCAGCGGCCATCTTTGCTGATCTCGATCGAGAAGCCCTCCGACGGACCGCAGTCCTCCGCCTCGCAGGTGACGTTGCCGAATTTGTCCGTGGACATGTAGCGGCCCATGTGCGAGCGAAGGCTGACGACGCTGTCTCCCCCGTTCTGCTCCAGCGTCCAGATCTGCTTGCGCTTCATCGACGAGCCGCTCGCATTGATCTTGAAGCCGAATGTCTCGGCGGTCAGGTATTTGCCGTGGCTGTTGATGAGGCCGATGTTCCAGCCGGCGGAATACGCGCCGCCGCCGCCGCTGCTGCTGCTGTGGCCGTTGTTGCTCCCGTTCGTCAGAGACATCGTTGCTTCGGGGCTGCGTGCGTGCGATCTCTGTTGTGTCGCTCGCCGTTGTCCCGGGATATCGTCTGCCGTGCCGCCACCGTGCGCATGCGCCGACACGCTTTGTGATCGCGAACAGCTAGTGACGTAACGGAGAGACCCGGCGGGGGTTTTTCGCACCGGGTTCCGAACGCTGTAACGCTGGCGAGACGAATAGAACTCTCCGTGTAAACTGTGTATCGAGCGCCGTTGTAGACAAACTGGCGACTTGCCGACGTGCGTTTATAGCCGCATGTTTATCGTTTGCAGTCTCCACAGGAGCAACTGGGTAGGAAATGAAACGCGAGATTCCCAATGGGGCGAACCTGTCAGCCGTGATGTAGCATGTGTGAGACGTGTGGGAGGTGGGTGGCTTGGGTTTGGCGTAAGAAAAAAAGCGACCCGTCACGGTCGGCTTGTGTCGAGAGTAAACGAGCGCGTTGTTATCGTTTCCTTGCCGACAAACGCTGGCTGTCACGCGCATGAAGCACTTAGTAAGCGTCCCGCACGGACGCTTGTACATACCGACCCGCAGGGTGTCAGCCTCCCATGTAGGGGGTGGGGGGAGGAACTATAGCCGGGGTGCTTACTCATGGAAATGTGATTAGCGTGCGTGCGCGTGTATGTGTCCGTATGCGTGCGTGCGCGTGTATGTGTCCGTATGCGTGCGTGCGCTTGTATGCGTGCGTGCGTGCGTGCGTGAGCGTGTGTGTCCGTGCTCGCGCGTCTATCCGTGTGCGTGTGCGTATCTGCGTGCGTCAGTGCCCCGCGCGCGTATCGTATGTGCGTGGGAGGGTGTAAGCTGCGTGCGTGGCTGTGTGTGTGCGCGCGTGCGTGCGTGTGTGTGTGTGCGCAAGCGTGCGTGCGTGGTGTGTGGGAGTATCTCTGCGCGCGGCTGTGCGAAGTAAACGTAGGTTTAACTTTTTACGACGATGGTACCATATAGTGCAGACAGGATGGGAAGGGGGAGACAGTGTAGAAACAGGCAAGGAAGCAAGGGTGTGTCACCGTTAACTGTTAGTTAGAGCATGCTGCGAGCTACTCAGTTTTCGACAGCTGCCAACGATAATGTCATAATAATCCCTGCAAGTGCACGCACGTTCGACGTTTCGCAGCCAGGCACCATTCTAGCTTTATATGCAAAGTTAATCACTGGACGGCCACCAGGTGGCAAGAGCATGCAGTACAATAAACGCAGATGTAAGACAACACGTGCAACAACAACGGGCAATAATTATACTATATAGGCAGAGAATTCGTAACTTTTACACATTTCACCTGTTACACGAAAATACACATTCCGTGCTATGTAGAAAGCAGACAACCTTTATCGGAAATAAAATATCTGATTTATAGCATAACATGATCACACAATAACTACATAATAACAAGAGTCCATAATAGAAAAGGATTCCCTTATTAGAAAAGGTCCCTATTATGGACCCTTGATAATAACAAGTCAATTCACGTTTGTTATAATGGACTCCTGATTGCAACCATGTACCACAACACTAGTATTGGCCATTCCGAGTTCGGAGATCACAAGTGGCACTGATCACAGACTTCTATCCACAAATTTATATCATCAGATTGGTAACTCAGCAAATGAGGTAACAATTACAAGGGAAATTGCTAAAGAATATACAGATAATAGCACAAATAGATCAAAACAAAGCTCTAGTTTTTATCTACTATTGATAATTGACAAATATTTCATATAGCTTGAATGAAATACTAGTAACTGGTTGAGATCATCAGGCAACATGAAAGCGAAGTTAGTGACAACGTTTTGCTAAATGTTGTGATAAATTATAAAGGTCAAATGCATAAATTTACAATAATAAAATTTACCCACATTTAATGTAGAACCATTTCCGTTTAACCTAATAGGTTTCCTGCAACCATAATTTACGTATTTTAATTGTAAACGTTTATTACTAATAGCAACATAAATATGGAATGAGACTTATGCTAGCCGCACACTATCCGACCCGAGCGTGATTTGAAGGCTTACGATTGGTTTGAGATGTTCTGGTTTGGCTCGGGAGGCTTAAGATTGGCTCTGGAGGTCATTTTGGCCCGATTCGAATTTTGAATCGGGAGCAGATCGGGTCGGATAGTGTGCGAGGGCTTACGACGCGACTCGGATAGTGTGCGCGGCCATCCGACCCGATCGACGAGCGCTGAAGACAATTGACCAATCACAGAGCAGCGCCATGGGAACCGCATTCGAATGGAATGGCATTCGAACCATGGGAAACACTCCCGACCCTTAGTACACGCTAAATCCGCTTGGAACGCCACGAGAGAGTCATGGTTTGCGTCAACTTTGAGTCGGACAGTGTGCGGTGGCCTCCCGATCGATCGGGAGCGGGTCGTATAGTGTGCGGGGGCTTAGTGCTGTGCACAGTGCAAAATCGGATAGTGTGCGGCTAGCATTAATGATCTTAAAGACAAGAAGCTCTAGCATCTATTCCTACATACATGGTGAGAACCTGAATAGTATAAAGCTGCCAAACACTGATTATCGGTATTACCACGACCCCCTACACACACGCACACACGCACGCATGCACACACGCACACACACACGCACACACACACACACACACATATATATATATACACACATATATATATATATAAGCACCAAAGTTAGAGACCAGCATCGTGTGTCGTCATAGGCGTGAGCGAGGGAGTGACGCAGTAGGTGTGGAATCACAGATGTACAGGCGTGAGCGAGGGAGTGACACAGTAGGTGGGGAATCACAGGTGTACAGGCGTGAGCGAGGGAGTGACGCAGTAGGTGTGGAATCACAGGTGCACAATTGAATCCCTGCGCAGGGCTTCCTCATAGGACAGCTTCCTGAGAACTAGCATCGAATCACCGTTGCCGTCGTCGGCTTGCAGTGCCACCTGTAATATCACATCCTTCGTAACCGCTGACGAAATGTGTGCGATGGAAACTGCAACAGAGAGAAGTAGAGAAAAGAGTTAGTCAGCGATGACTCATTGTGATGAATTAATTTACCTTATTCTGCTGGTGTACGGGATAAATATACCATAAATATTTCACATCGATATTCACCCAGGTATACCCAACTAGTTAGCAGAATGGTTGGCATAAAGATGTGTCTATATTTGACTATATAAAGATACATGTATATTATATGCTTATATAACTTATATACCAGTAGTATTTTTTGTAAAAATAGGATATGTCCGTATGTTGTTTGTAGTCGGAGCACAAGAGTTATCGCTCCTATTTTAACTGAGAGCTTTCAAACATACCTGATGGTTCCTCACCAGGTGTCAGCACCGTACAACTCTTCTTTCTTTCATCTGCAAATCATAACACATAGATTATGAAATTTACCAACATCTGGCCCAAGCAATAAAATACCACCACATAGGATGGTTTGGAAAAGTCTAACTAACCAAAATAGGAGTACATCCCCAATTTTAACTAGAAAGGGCAGTTGTCGCCAACTACATGTATCCCCCGTGATCTAGTATGAATGAAATATCTCTGTAAGGACTCTACGTAGGTAGGTAAAGTTAAATAAGTCACAAAGACAAAGGTTTGTTACACAACTCATCTGCCTGAGATGTGCAAGTATGTTAAAATTGGTTGCCTTAGGGGTTTTGGTACGCGACACACCTTCTCCCCAAGATGTGTAAGTATACGATGTTTGCTCGCTCTAGGTCAATTAGGGGCCGAGTTATAGAGCGGAAGGGAAATATGATCAAGGCCAAGGTAAAGGTCAAATAAAGGTCGCAGTTACCTGGTTTTGGTACGCTGCGCACCTTCTCCCCAAGATGTGTAAGTATACCAAGTTTGGTAGCGCTAGGTCAATTAGGGGCCCGAGTTATAGAGCAGAAGAGAAATATGATCAAGGTCAAGGTAAAGGTCAAATAAAGGTCGTAGTGACCTGGTTTTGGTACGCTGCGCACCTTCTCCCCAAGATGTGTAAGTAGACCATGTTTGGTCATGCTAGGTCAATAAGGAGTCGAGTTATAGAGCGGAAGGGAAAGTGTCTGCGGCGGCGGCGGCGGGACAGACATGAAACCACAGTATCCCCGCCGACTTCGTCGCGGGGGATACAATAACAAGCTCATGTGCATACCCTGTTTGTTCATTCCAATTGAGTAGATTCTTGGCAACTGCTCTGTCAGATGTAATGCAGTCTCCCCCATGCTGGAGTCAATAGCGTAGACATTCAGACCCACAGTAGTGCTGTGACTGCTACACAATTGTGCTTCCTAAAGGAAGAAAAACGTCATAGATTCTCACCACTAACACAATCAGACAAAGACAACACAAATACACAAATAATCATCGCCATATGAGGTAACAAATCATGGAAGGAATCTTTGCCAGGTCACGAACAAGTAAAATGTATCTGGTTACAATGCAAAAAAACCCAAGATTTATAAATAATATTCTTCTAGAAACTGTTCCAACAGAAAAACTGTGATACTTTAACTAAACATTATAACATCAGATAGACTCACGCTGGTGACAGACAGCACAGTGCCATTATCCCCGATTCTTCCATGAACCATAAAGACAAACGTGCTAGCAAAGCTGTCTGCAGTAACCATGGCAACGGGAGCTCCATGCTCGTGACTGGGCACCTGCAGGGACCACAAGATGCTGCCTGTGCTGCCATCGAGTATCAGGACCTAAATCAAGTACATGATTAAGGGATATTATTATGTATTATTACAAGTACATTATAGGTATATTGTAGGAATTATTGTAGTGACAAATTTTAATGTTTACATTTTTGTCAAGTGTTGACTTTATTTCACTTTAAAACTGCTCGTTTTGATAAATTATGAAGCATGCTGAATTTGCTAATGAATAAACCTGTATCAAAATTTATCATCTCTGTTCATCTCTTCTTTATTCCTCCTTAAATTTGAATTTTAAAAGTACTGCCCGAGAATCCGGAAATCCGAAAACCCGGACCGACCCAATCCCTGAACAGTCCGGATTTTTATACTTCTACTGTACATAGAAACCTAGATAATATACTAATCTATGTTCATTGTTGCCACCTAGTAAAAACTTAAAAATTATATGTGGTTTCTTGAGTTGTGGCAAAGGCTGTATATATATTTCATGTAATGAATAACTAACATCCATAATATCTGTCAATAATTTACAATTACAACACTGACTTCCGAACAATAACTCACCGTTGCATTGTGACCATGCATTTGGTTCACCATAATATCTGGATACTCATCTGTGTTGTACCACGATACAGCCGGAGGGCTATGAAAAAAAATTAAAAACTCAAGTAAAAAGCACAGATTTCACACACCATAGACCATAACTCAACTTCGTGACACATTGAGAATTTCCTCAACGGCCTCTCGACTGACCAGACCAGGAAAAACACAATAACTTTACGTGATAAACATGGGGTGGCATAACAGCACCAAACTTTGGAAACCGACCGGCTTTCGTTTGCGACTGAATACAGGCAAAAGATAACTCGACAGAAGCCGCGCACGTTCGTGGAACGTCGTCGCGGTAGTTGTTGCAGATTCGCGTCGTGGCGCCGCTCACAGATTTGATCGGCACGCACCTGTAGGACCCTGCTCCGGGAAACTCCGCCTTCCACAGCTCGGTGAAAGTTTGACCACCGAGGACGGTCACCGCTCCGTCGTATCCCAGCAGCAGCACATCAGCGATCAAGTCACGATCAAGATCGGCAAGGATGGGCGTCTGCATGTGCGTCGGGGCGTCGCCAAGACTCCTGGAACAACATTTGCATTGCCATATCACTGCCATCGTCATCATCGCCATCACATATTGTTCACTTTACCGTCACACTCCAGTATAATAAATATTGGACAGACTCAAGCATTTTAACTGTCATTTGACTGTTTTGAAGTAAGTAAAGAATTTAAAATACAATTCGAGTCTATGTTTAATGGTGTATTTGCCCCATGTAGCTGCAATAGATAGCAACAGTAACCGACCAGTACCCACATAGCTCCCACAATCAGCAGTTATAATCAAAACATACCTGTATAGAACCTGGAGTCCCATGTTATCTGGCGGTTCCACTCTGTTCCAGTCTCCACTCGCCATCACGCTTACCTGCAGGGAAGCAGTATCTGGTATGCTCACATTGACAGCATTCCTGTAGAGATCTCGCAAGGAAAGCCCCAATAAAGTAGCTGCAGAGAAAACGCCAACAATTACAGCTAAGAACATATGTATATAATATCAAGAGTACATAATAGGAGATCTCCTATTATGTACTCTTGATAATATATAACTATGGAAAAGTTCCTCATAGCATATTATTCAAGCACACATGTACATGTACATTATACAAATACTTTTTATAAAGAAAATATCTAATGAATACAACAGCGTGAATCCAAAATGTAATCTAAATATAACATTATTGGTGTAAAAAACATGCATGAAAAACAATTACAGAAAATACTGACAATATTCTCAGTGGAGAATTCACCTCAGCTTTCAATCTGCATAAAAATACTCACCTTTTCTATCACTTGATACCGCATTGAGCAGAATGTGGATAGCACCATTTGATCTTTCGTAGAGGACGGGATCATTCGCAAGCGTTACATCTGGAAGACTCATTGGTGAACCCAACATCTGACCAGATGCACTGGATAGCAGCATTAGCTTACTAGCAGATGATGTGACCTGCCGAAAGAAGAAATTATTTGGTGTATATAACCCGTTATTATCGGTAATAGTAATAAAATTACGAAAAATGTGTTTCTATGGGTGAGTATTTTCCTCTTGGCACATTTAATGGGTGTTGCTATCCCCCGGGCGTGGAGGGAGGTCACGTGATAACGTTGACGATGACGTTCAAAAAGTTAACCCTAACGTTAACCCTCACTCCAACACCGCCAACACTAACCTTCACACTAAATATATATGTGTCGCCGCGCTATATATAGGCAGTGTTATCCACAAAAATTAATCTATGGTGTGGGGACAGATATCATGATGCAAAAACCCTAACCCTAACCCTAACCCTAATCCTAACCCTAACCCTAACCCTAACCTTAACCCTAATCCTAACACTATTCTAACACTAGTGCTGCCACGTTGCGGTCACCTCCCTCCACGCCCGGGGGATAGCATTACCCACATTTAATCTAGTGCTGCCACCTACTGGTAATAAAGAAAACTTTACTAATTAGACATATATTTGAAACCTCAGCTTTCCTCCTGGATGCAAGC